CCCCCGAAAAGATGATCTTAACGCGGCTGACGCTTCATGTTGCTACAAGTGCACATGGTTCAAGTGTTTGCTTGTGCCCTGGCTTTATGTTATCCTTCTCCGAGTAGCGCACCAGCCATGTCCAGGTAGCGAACTGAACGCACTATGGCATATGAATATTTGTCATTTGATCAAGACATTCTCTGCCTCAGCTCACGCCAAGAAGACCGCATCCTCACATTGTGACGCAGTGCGTGTTCAACGGTGCGATTGTTACGCACTTCCTACCTTCCTACCACTTTTGAATGTGGACGCAGTATGTGATTAGCCTGGTCTGCCTTTCCACTTACGCAGCAGCAGCCAAGCGGCTCTTGGGCTTAAGAGAACACGCAGCTGTTAGACCGTCAGTGGCAGCATCTGAAGAAATTAGTGATCTGGCAGTTGTTGTATGCATACATGTATCGTAGACGCCACAAAGACAACTTGTTCAGCAAGCTGGGTATGCTTTGCCGTTCCACACGGTGAAAGTTTCGCTCCTGAGCATTGGTGCATTTTGTGCTCGAAACCCAAGCGTGGATGCCAGTTTGCCCACGAAAAAGCGCGCCTTGCAGTGGTTTTGCAGCCTTGCGAAGTGGAGCGCTCATGTTGCGCTATGGTAAAACACAGTGATTTGATACATGAAGCCTTCGTGTTGCTTTGCAAGAACGAGAAAAGCACGCGGCCTACAGGCGCAGTCACCACATTTTTGTGAGGGACTGCGTGTGGGCTCCACGGAAAACAAGGGAGCAATTCCCTGGGCCCTTTGAAGGCAGTCCACTCACCTTCAAATGCTCGTGACTTCAATGTCCCCAGGTTGGCGCAAAAGCGGCCAACTGCCAAGATGCCACCGAAAAGAACAAAAGGCTTTTTCGGCGAGAGTCCACCACAGGCAGGTAGACATAGCAGCCCAGTGTGAGACAAAGTGCTTCTACACACACCTGGCCAGGGCACGGGGCCGCATGCGCTTCCCCGTCACGTACGGGCATGTCATTATTTGGCTTCGATTGAAACGGAAACCAAAAGGAAACCGAAATCCATTGGATGGTTTCAGAGAGAAACCAGAAGGAAACCACCTTTCTCTTCTTTTTCTTTCGTTCTTTTTCGGGGGGGGGGGGGCTCCCCTTACTTTGACCAAAACGCATCCCCTGGCGCATCCGCCTCCGCGTATTTGTTGGGCTTTGTCTTGTCCTCGCTGGGCAGGCCTTGGCCGAGGCTTCCACAAGCGCTTGGGGGCCTCAAGGCCTCAATGCTGCTGAGTGAAGTGGGCAACGACTGGCATAGCCTGCGGGACGGAAAATAAGAAAGAGAGAGAGAGAGAGAGAGAGACAGAGACAGAGACAGAGACAGAGACAGAGACAGAGACAGAGACAGAGACAGAGACAGAGACAGAGACAGAGACAGAGACAGAGACAGAGACAGAGACAGAGACAGAGACAGAGACAGAGACAGAGACAGAGACAGAGACAGAGACAGAGACAGAGACAGAGACAGAGAGAGAGAGAGAGAGAGAGAGAGAAAAATAGCTTCTGGTGTACCAGAGCCACAAACCGGGCAGCCTCTCCCCAGCGGTTGCCCGCCAGGGATCAGGCCCGGGACTGGCTCCGCAAGCGTCATTGCCAGCCAAACAGCTAGAAAAAAACAAGGGGGGAAGGGGGGAGACCGGTGCGTTACTGAAAATCGCCCCGAAAGAGGGGCCAGGTGCGTTACCGAAAGTTGCCCCGAAAGAGGGGCCGGGCGCAGGCCCCCCGCTCTGAAGGAACGGCCACATGCCCGGATGTTGTGCCCGGAAAGCATCCACAAGCCCTTGTCGCAGAGCACTAAGGCATCCTCCCGGCGCGTCCAGGAAGGTCCTGCTCCCTTGCCTCCCAAGTTGCCTCCCAAGACCCGGGCCCAAGCCCGAAGCACTGCGACCTCGATCCACCCAGGCGTGGGCCTGCACCACCCGGGCCGAAGCCCGCACCATCCGGGCCTGAGCCCGAGCCGCCTGCGTCCAGATCCACCCAGGCGTGAGCCTACACCAGGCCTGAGCCCGAGTCTCCGCGGCCACCTGCCCGACTGTGAGCCTGCACCAAAGCCCGCACCATCCAGGCCTGAGCCCGAGTCTCCGCGGCCACCTGCCCAACTGCGTCCAGATCCACCCAGGCGTGAGCCTGCACCACCCAGGCCGAAGCCCGCACTCACGCCACGAATACAAGAATGCGAGAAGGTCAACTGCCTGAATTGTCGAATGCAGATGGTGGTTAACTCTGCCGCTGCCTGCACCGCTGCTTGGCCAACAGAGGAGAGAACAAAAAAGAAGAAGAAAGGAAGAAAGGAGAGAAGGGAGAGAGGCACTGTCGCTCCGAGGGCCAACAGGGAATCATGAACCAGGTGCTCATCGGACCGAAACAGAAGAGAAGGGGCGAAAAAAAAGACAGAACAAAAGACAAAACAAAGAGCCCGGTCCTTAGTGCCGCCCCTGGGGTCACTGGTCCACGCATCATTCCCCATTGAAGGCCGCCCCCGGATCCAGGGGGGACGGAAAAATAAAATCTTACCACGGCAAGCGTGATGAGTTTGCGCGTCTTTTCAGCCCAAACGGCAAAAAGGAACACACATATCCCCGTGATGTTACTGACTAAATATCCTGCCCCCGCGTAAAAACGGCATACGGAGCTTTCGTGATGAGTCTGGCACCCATCTTTCCCAGCCCCAGAGCCGCATGTCGACGAACGTCGGGCTCATCACTCCTCAGTTTGCTGCACGCTTGCGGTGTTGCTTTGTTGTTTGACCTCCATCTTCTCACTCCTGGTGGATTATAAGCTTTCAAAAAACAGGCTGGGGTCACAAAAGCAGGGCCCTTGTTTACTTCCCCCCATCGCATTGCATCCAACTAGCCAAACAGAATATGCTGCGGCCAGACTTGCCATGGCTCTCGCGCAGCAGTTTGATCAACAGCTTGATGACCTTGACCTCGCCAGGCCGCGCCAGCATCCACAGCACCTGCAAGGAACGCAGGGCCCACCGCTTTTGTGCTGATCCCAAGGCTTGTTTTTCTCAAGATGAATTTCGAAAAACCCAGTTTTTGGTTGGTAGCCAAAGGGCAACCGAGAAGAACCAACCGAGTTTCAGAAACGCCCATTCTGATGCACCGGGAGCGGGCGCGGAGAATTCAAAGCCCCGCCTCGCTGGAAAGGATCCGCTGGTTTGGGGAAGAGGCCGTCATCATCGGGAGCAGCGCCGAAACCACCGCCTGCCACAACAGGCTTCCCCATATTCCCCCTTTTGGTTTCAAACCTCAGGTGTTGCTAGGGGAAATATGGGTGCTGCATGCTTTGAAAAGTAGCCTTTTCTGGCCGGTTGAAAAAGGGATATCAACAGGAAACTTTAAATACGACCTTTTCGCAGATCAGAGCTCCTGGTAGCTCCATCCTGAGCTGAGTGAACTGGCCGAAAAAGTCCAAAAACTGGTTGGTTGCCACTCAGGTGGTCCCAAAAAGTGATTAAAGTCCATGAATCCCCTCCTGAGCGGACTGGCCAAAAGAGAGCCCAAACTTGTTGGTTGCCACTAAGATGGTCCAAACACAAGAGCGACTAAAGTTGATCGGGGAGTGAGGCCCGGCCCCAGCCCAAACTCCCGCCTCGCCTGATTGCCGTCAGGGCTTACCGTCTTCAAGGCTTGCACTGTCGCCTGCCGAACCTCCACATCGTGGTCCCCCACACATGCCTCAGCCATACACGGCTTGTCTCAGGACCATCAAAATTGGGTTGGTGTTCCTTCTGCCCCCCTTTAAAACCACCCAAACATGTTTATTCATTTTTGGTTTGATTAAATTACGGAAATCCGAAAAGGTGTGTCTTGCCAGGGCTTTCCCGTCAAAATCAAGAAAGACGTCTAAGATGTGTCCACCAAGCCCCTGTAGGGAAAAATTGTGGCACAGCCAATTGTACAGTGGCCAGTGGCTGGTGGAGATCTGAAAACCAGACCCTTAGAGGCCATATGGCTGTACAGGGGATTGGCTCAAAGTAGGGGACCCCTTAAAACGGATGATGTGCTTGAGTTTCCCTTTAAAATGACCCAAGAAAGGGGTACTCACAACCCTATCCCATTAAAGCCAGGAAAGCCCATGGCTCTCCGAAATGTGTGGGAACCATGTGGATTTTTGGTGTGAACCTGTAACTTGGTTTCTGGCACACCTACACTCAAGTTTGTGGAAATGCTGCTGCAACCTCGGGTTGGGCGCACCCCCCACTTTTGAACATTGCACTTGTTTGTTTAGGTTTAGCCGGAATGCCAAAAAGAATTCCTGATTTTTTCTTGATACTTGCAGTGAATGGAAATGAATTGCATCTGCATCATTTGGATCATATATATATATATCTTTACTTTCCGATTTATCTTTTATCTATAATGTTCAATCATCCAGTGCCCAAGCCTCCTTTCGAAGCCTTGATCCGAGGCACTGCCAGCTTTGTCAGCACGGAGTCCCTTGCCAGACCGCCTGGCATGGAACAAAAGGCCGCGGAACAGCAAATGAGCCACAGGCGGCGCCTGCAAAGAGCCGAGTGATGGCATCCACAGCCGTTCTTCGAACGCCGCCCCGCCAGTCCTAAGCGCCAAAAAAAAACGAAAGAGAACGCCTGCAAAAGAAAGTCCCTGGGAACATGGCAAGGAAGCATCCTTCTTCGGACGGAAGGCAAAAACTGCTGGATAAGGTCAACTGCCCCTTGGCTCTTTTTGAGGGAAACGTAGCTGCTTCACACCCCCAAGCCACCCCATGTTCCAGGGTAACCTGATGGCCCCGCGACTTTTCCCGTCCTTCAGGTGGGCAGCCACGAGATCACCTGGCAATGAATCGTTGGACCCAAACATGCGCGCAATGGGCGCTCCATGCCATCTGACCAGTGTCAAAGCAGGGCTCGAAAAACTGTGGTTCTCCCTTGGCGCTCCCAAAGGGCAAGAGAACACACACATGCACACACAGACACACATATGCACCATTTTGCTCGTGTGAGAAATCGTTGACGCCGTCTGGCTGATCAGTGCGGATTTTTTGGTGAGGCGAGGTCGCTCAGTCCACGATCACACCTTGGTAACGCTCAAGGGGTGGAGCTTGGCTTGGCAATTGGAAAGCCACCTCTGGACCTCCCAACCACCAATCCAAACCACCAATAGTTTCAGGGAGCCTCATTGGCCAGGGCACATGCCGTTTCTCCTGAAAACGAATTTAAGACTCTCAGCTTCCCGTTTGGTGGTCGGGAACGGTTCGGGGCTTGGGGGTGGTTTCCCATGCATCAACACCCCCAAACCGTCAATTCACATCACCAAGTAGCCTGAGATTCTGTTTCACTCACTTCCTGAGCCCAAAAAAGGCCAAACTTGTTCTTGATCACTACATGGTCTTCCCAATATGTAAAAAAGCCCAACGACACTCGGGAAGTGAGCTCAGTGTTAACCTCAAAGTTCAAACAAAACTCGCGCCCAGGCCGGCCATCCCATGGCCAGCCCACGCCGAGGAGCTTTCACGTGCCCGCTCCTCCTGCTTCTTCTTTTCCTTCTCGGCCTTGGCTTGCGCTTCCGCTTCCGCCGCTTCCGCTTCCGCCTTCGCCGGGTTGGATTCAAGGCCCTGTTAAAGCCATGTCTTTTTCAACCGCCACTCTACAACTTCTAGAATTTGGCAAAAAGCTGCAGCAAGGCTGGTAAGCTCGTTTTCCCCCAGCTGAGCTCGCCATAAAATAGGCAGAACCATGATCCACCAAACTGTTTAATTAAACCAACCTCTTGCTGGTATTCCTTGTAAACCACCATTCTTTTCAGTACAATCCCTGTCAAGGTCCTCAAGGGTTGGTTGTATTGGAATTGCAGATAACAACTCGAAGGTAGCATTGGGGAAACCCAGGCCAAGACATACGAGAGGAGCAGTGGTGGCGCATGTTTAAGCTTCGTCTTCTGTGAAGGAGATGACACAGAGTACACTAATCCCAGCTACTGCCAGGAGCAAGCGGAGCAAGCCAACAGAAATCGCAGGAAATCGGAACTGCATCAACTTGTTGCTTGCCGCCTGATGCCGAGGCATCACTATTGGAGGGAACTCCCATATACCTAGGACAGGTTCTAACTATTTGGCTCCGGGGTCAACAGCACCCCAAATGTAAGCTTCGGTTTCTCTATAATAGCATCAGCCGGGTTGCGTCTTGTTCGGGTGAGCCCCCCAAAACTTGCTGGTGCTCAATAGGGAATGCCCTTCCGGGTTGTCAGAATGAACTTGAAAATGAACCCATAAAGAATATAGGGGTCACCGAATTTCTCATTCCCTGCCTATCAAACCAGAAAAGAAACAACAGAAAAGAAAGACAAAAAAAGAAAATAGAGGAAAAAAACAAGAAAAATACGAGTTCCCCTGATCCCAACTTATTCCGTGCCTATGGAGCCCAACAATCCCCCCCCAAAAAAAATAAATAACTGGCGCCCCCGGCACCCGACCTCCCGGAGCCCCCGAAGCCCCAAATTCCGAGCCTTCACGGAAGGCAGGCCGGCGGCGAACTTCGCCAAGTCCTCGGGGCTCATGGTGGCGAGCCGCGCGGACAGCTTCTCCAACTGCTCCTCCGACATCTTCCCACCAAGCCTAAGGGCCGACGCCAGCGGTCGAATCCACGGAGAAAACCAGGAAGCGGACTTCAGAAGCTTGGTTGCTGTTGAGTGCAAAAAGTGGCTTCACTTCTTGTGGGTTTCATGGCAAACCCCTTGATTTCAACCGAAAAGTTATAAAGTCGAAAGATCCAGCCCAATAGCAGTCGAGGAAACGAGGTGAGATCAGCTCTTGGGGCTCGAAGCCGTGAATGGGCCGAGATGGGAATATCGAAAGGTCACAAGGTCGATTCGCCAAAGGGAAAGTCACCCGACCAATTTGCTCCAAAAAAAGTGGTGCTTGCCACCAAAATGGGGAAGGGCCCGTAGCTCCATGTAAAAGGTGGGTGGTTTTCCAGAAGGAGATTCGTCTAACAGGGATTCTTAGATTATCCAGCCAGACATAACCCCCATGATGACGGTTTCCTGGTCAGAAATAAGGGAAACGACATCTGCGGGCCCGATTTTGACGCAGATCCGAACAGGACCGGGCCCCGAGAATGGCTTCGGATTCTTCTTGGGCATGTCTGTTTGGGAGGATTTCGGCTTGAAAAAGAATGCAAAAGGAAAACCGGGGGGCCCACCCGGTATTTGCGCAATGCCTTGACATCAAGCCAGCGCACCACCCTCATGCCCTGCCTCTCCCTGAGCTCATCAAGGTCAAGGGAGCGCACCCTCTCCAGGGATTCGCTGAGCGGAGATTTCACGCGCTGATCCAGAACATCCTCCTCATGCTTTGGTTCTGCGGCCGCCTCCTCAACTGCGTGGGCCTGACAGGGCTCACATAGGTCAACTTTTCCCCCCCCGCCCCCCAAACAAAAAAAGGGAAAAGGAAAAATGACACTGGCAACCAGAAGATGAAGTTCAAACCCACCAGCCCTCCCCTCCCCAAACCATTTCAAGACCTGCCGGACTCCCTGGCTTCAAACCACCGGCGGACCCTCGTCGAAGGACACAACCGAAGGAAGCCCAGTAATATAAGGGATTCGTAGCCCTACGGGCTACGAAACCCATATATTACGGGCTTTCTTGTCATAAATACCCGAGTGGCGTCATTAGGTTCAATGTACTTCGGAACCTTCGGTTCCTACGTACATTGAAATGAATCTCCTTCGTGCCTTCGGCACTCGGAGATTCATATCCAACCCGCGGTCGCTTCGTGCCTGCGGCACTCGCGCCCTTGGGTCTGGCCGCCTAGCCCCCGCCTTCTCGGCCCCCTTCTGCGCCGCCATGGCCAAGGCTTTCAGGGCGGACCGCGCTTTGGTCACCTGCTCCTGGAATCCGCCACACGCGTGTCAACCCATGGCACCAGGCCCGTGTCCGCCCCACAAAAAACTGACGGAGAACCCCGAGGAGGCGGCTTAAACAGGGGGAATCCCAAACCAAACTGTTCCAACCTCGCTTTCAATGGGCTTGAGAGTTGAAACGTGTTTTAGCCAAGCGCCGAGCCTTGCTTAAGGGGCCGAAATGGCTGTGATTTGAACACGTGTGGCTGTTACAGGGAACGACCTCAGAATTGGTCGTTGGACATGAATCCCCCAAAACTATCGGTGATGTCCAGGTGTTTCCTTCTAAGGTACTGTACCTGTTTAAATTGGGGAACATTCGCGTTTTTTGCCCATACCCATGGCACACATCCCATTTAGAGTCAATCCCAATTTGCGTACGTGTGCGGGTGTATCTCAGAGCTCAGGACCCTCCATGTGGCTGGTTTCTGTTTGGCTTCCCGCCATCCAAAAAGAGTCCGCCATTTTGAACCCGACCTTTTTGGGCCGACCTTTTTGGGCCGACCTTTTTGGGGTCCCAACAAGAAGCAGATTGTTTCTAGGACCCCCCACCCCCCACCCCCAAAAAAAACCATGTGGTTTTTTCCTGCTGGTTTCCTTTTAAAACCATCCGAAAAGGAGTACCAGCTCACCAAAAGGAAAAAGGACCGGCCCATCTCTTCCCCCGGTTTGGTTCCTCCGAACTCGCTCGCTCACACTCGCGGCTCCGCGGCTCCTCCCGGATCTGGTCCTCCCGGGCCTTCTCGAAGCGCGCCTCGTCCTCGGCGGTGGTCTGCTTCCCCTCCGCCCCGGCCTCCACCAGCTGGGCGATGACCGGGCGCACCTCACGCTACCCACGCTCGCTACCGAGCCGAGCGAGCCGGAAGAGCCGGAAGAGCCGGAAGATCCGCCCGGTGCCAAACCGTGGGGCCGTCTCAAAAATCTAAATGGGGGGCGTGGGGGATGGGAGGGGGTGGGGGGGGGGGGGGGAAAACAAGATTTTAATGAGGAGTGTCTTTTTCGCTCTTTCCCGGCAAAGAGGGCCTCCATGTGAAGGTAGATGCAAATACCCAGCAGTTGTGCCCTCAAACAAGTGTGGTCGGCTTCCCTCTAATTGATGGCTTGGAGGTTCAGATGCTAATGGATGCATAAACCGCCTAGTTTACTTTAGATAGTCCCCAGTCCGAATATGGAGCGCCTGGCAGTCAACATGCGAGCCATGATCGGGATGTTGCAATCATCGGCTGTGCCATCGAAACTCGATGCATGCTTGTCTACATGCCCCATCAATTGGTTCCGGGCCACCCCTTACCAACCCCCCAAATGAAAGTGTGTGTATTCACCAAGGCTCATAGGCCTCCTTGGTGGACATGGAAGATGAGGGTTGGGTTTTCTGTCTTTTTGTGATCAAGGATTAGTGGCGCATCCCCCAAATTGCCCATAGACCAGACCGGAGCTTTCGACTAAACCTCACACCCACTGTTTTTCCTGGAGCTTCTGGGTGTGCTGCTTTTTCAGGGCACCCCGCTAGGATGGCGTTTAAAGGAGCAAGGGGGAACCCGACGTTCCCAGATTTTGAGGCTAGCCGACGCGCCTCGTCAGCCACTTTCGCCTGAGACAGGTTCGTCCTGGCCACATCCAAAGGGGTCTGCCCGTCCTCGTTGGTGTCATTCAGCAAATCCTGGAGCCATGGTTCGAATCGGTTGAAACCCAGGCCCGTTTCAGCCAAAGGGACACCCCAAATGCGGCGGATGAAATAACCAGACCCCGGCCCCTTCTCCATTTAAGTAAAGAGATTGCCGAAACAGTAGTGAGCTAAGCGTGATTTAGCTTGCAGCCTCCTCTGAAGGGGAACCCAAATAATAAGGAGATTGCTTAAACAAACATGCTGACGCCGGATGACTCACCCTCGCAGAATAATCGGGGGGTTGCCCCCAGAAGTCAAGGATTCCTTGGTTCTGTATCAGCTCGGCTTACATTGTAGTGGTTGAAAAGGAGAGTGATGGGTTGAACAAGAGTGGGAGCATGCTTGCACCCCCTTAAAAGAGACATCCCAGGAACGCACATGTGAAATATTGACAACCAAAAGGTACTTTTGACTCACATAACCCACCCACCCCAAAAAAAAAAAAAGAAAAAGGGACAGCGGGAACCTAAGCTGTGTCGATTTCGGCGCCTCGAGGCCTTTGCCCAGCAAAATCGGCAGGAAGTCCGCCCTTCCGTAGCCGGAGGCGTAGTGAAGCAGGTTGTTCCCCCGCTTGTCGCGAACCCTTGGGTCCGCGCCCAGCTCGAAAAGCCTCACGGGGCAAAAAAAAAAAAAAACGGGTAAAAAATACGTAAAGAAAAACGTGGAAAAAAAACCCAAACAAATAGCCCTTCAATAAACATGCGGCGCTGGAAAAAATGTGGATCTTGCCATGGTCTTATTGGCGGTTCTTTCAAGCAGCCACTGAAAGGATACTCTCAAAACAGTAACGTCCATCCAGATGGCTGCATCTTTTTCTCGGAAACCACCCGAAATCTGTGATACCAACGTGGGTCATTCCCATGACTGCTTCATCACTTTCAAGTTTTCCCTTGGGCACTCACTGAAGCCCTTGTGTTTTCCTTTTTTTTCTAGTTTTTTTTTTTGGTAGCAGACCCACTCAAAATTGTGGTTTTGCTTGTGGCCCTCCTTTAAAACCACCAAAACAAGGATACCCTCGGGAAAGAACCACACACACACACACATTCCACCACGCCTCTCCAGGAGACCGGCGTTGTTCAAGGCCAGCGTGTACATGCTTGCTGGGATTCCTCAACTCAGGGACTCCTTTTCTCTGGTTTGGATTGGCTCGGGGATTTGAACCCCTGGTTCTTCTGGAGGGTACATGGAAACCAGCCCTAACCTCCAAACCACCAATTAAAGCCACTCATGAAAGGGAAGCTGATCAAACGACAACTGTCTGAACGTCTGCGCTGGCTTGCTCCTCATGCGCGAGGAAAAAGCGGTTCGGTAACAAGCGTGGTTTGGTTCGGCGTTCGGCCAATTATATATTTGGTCTGGTTCAACAACTCGAGAATCTGCTTTGACCACCACCTTTGCTTCAGCGTCTCAAGCGTTTCATGGTCGCAAACTCACGTTGTTCCAAACCTACAGCCGCGTCAGTCCGCAATCAAGCTCTGACACCGTCTCATGGGCGCGCAAGCTGCAGCTAGCGGATGTGTTCATCGGTCCTTTGTCATCCAGCTCGTCGATCTTGCGGCCGTTCTCCAGCAGGGTGGGGATGTAGTCAGCCCGCGCCGCAAAAACCGCCTCCGGTGGTTCACCCGCGGACCAGGACGGCATCCCCCCAATGGCCCAAGACGCAAGAGGAAGCCTATGCTTTTTGGAACCCCGGTTCCATTAGATCTCTCACGTCCTCACTCTTCCATGTCAGACCTATTTACCCATTTGTCAAGGAAGACCACTGATGTTCGTTCCAATGTCCCATCTCTCTGCATCCAATATGAATAGTGGAGAGGCAAAGGGACATGCCATTCTTCCAGGTCTTATTGGGAACCGGTAAAGAGGTGGGAAGGGATAGGTAATCAAGGGTCAATCGTCTCTCCGTTCTATTGCTCGTCTCTGTCCGCTTGCTCACTTTGTTCCCGCCCTATGCCTCACCAATCTCTGTGGCTAGGATTGGAGGTCTACCGGTAAGACAGCGTCCATGTGAGTGAATGAAGCGAGCGAACGGCCATCTCTTCAAACTAATTCTCTCGCATAGAATCTTGAACTGATAAAGAAAATGGGAAGAGATAAAGAGACGAATAGAAACATACAAAGAAAGCAACAAGACGCCCATAACAAGCTCACAAATTGGCAGGGCACAGGTCGGAAGACAATAAGAGTTACATGTCAAGACATGACAGGAAGGTAGAAAGCAAAAGAAAACACAGAAACCAAAAGCACAAATCAAATAACCAAATCTACAGAACAGGAGACTGCGGCAATGCGTTTGTTCGTGGTTGTTTGGACCTGTGTAAACGGCGTCTTTGTTGTAGTTTTGAGGTATGTGTAAATGTCTGTCTTTGCCGCTGCTCTAATGAATTCATGTGTTCCAAAAAGCACCAAAATGAGAAAAACAAAAAAAAACTCTGACACTCTTTCTAGAAGTAGCCTGTCACGGCGCCAGGAGTTCTGGGATAATGTATTTGTGGGCTTGGTTGGCTTGTTGGCTTTGACTTTTTGTTTTGTTGGTCGTGACAAGGATTTTTTTGGTGTTTGGTTATCGGCAGGGCTGATCCAGCGGATTTGTTTCATGGAAATCCTACTTAAGATTCTAGCTTAAACTGGATTAAGTTGAACTCTGCTTGGGTAAGTTGTATCTAAAAAATAATACTGTGCAAAAAATGTCGCGTTGGACAAGAAATCATGTGTAAAGCCGAAACTGAAATGGAATAGTTTTTGCCTAATCTAAATTCCGATTTAGACAGATATTATGAGTGGTTCGTTCCTTATCAAATTCTATTTTAACGGCACAGGAATCCTACGTAAATTCCAAATGTAAGATAGAGATCCAGTGGGATTCGGAACTAGTGGTTCCTTATTGAGTCCTAATTAAACTATGTTCACATCTGATTCGTAACAGGTGAAATGAGTACAAAACCCTGCCACAAAACACTTTGTTTTGCAGTGTTTGTCTGACCATGGTAGTGCTGGGGCTGGGGGAGGGGGGCAAAAACGATGTTGGAACCTTTGAATTATGTCCTTATGAAACTCCACTTCATATAGTTAGCTGAATTTGAACAGAATAAGGGCAGATACAAGCAGAATTTGCCTTTAAACTAACTGTTTAAATAATTGCTATGATATGTCCAAACTAATTTTCACACAGGATGTCCTTTCCAATAATTTTCTTTACAAATCAATTTATTCAACAATTGTGGGACCTCTGTGTTCTTCACTCATGATTTGTACTTAATATATTTGGCCGGTTCTACTTAATGTCAAACTGAAATTGCGAAGGATTTAATATGGACCAAGCATAACTCATATTTGCGTTGGAATTCAAACAAGATTTCTATTCCAAATTATAGTGTAGGCAGGGTGTCCTTTCCAATAGAGTACTCTTTATAAATCAGTTAACATTTCAACACAATTGATTCAGCGAGAGCTCAACACAAGCAGTTTGAGTGCAAACAGCAAATACAGACTAGCATGCACCAGCAAATCAAAATATAGCAACTAGTGCACCTCTGAATCTACTGGACGTATATAGTCCAAATAAGAAAAAATCGAAATACATAAATTACTTAACCATGCATCTTTGTTTGGCACAGCTGTTAACGTAGCATGTTGGCATAAGAAACACCATTCAGGTACTGTCTGCAAAGGAGGTAGTACTCCACGTGCTGAATGTGATACCGAAGTGAACCCAGAGGCCATTTGAGGAAGATATAGCTGTGGCACAAAAAGAAAGCCAAATGGTACCTTGGCAAATTGAACCAAAGACTAAAACCTGCGTAATCCTAAATCTTTCACTTTGAGCCACACGCACATGGGTATGAATTTTAATTACGGACCCTTTGGTGGACATCATTTAGGTGGGGATTTATGTCCACCAGCCACTGTTCAAGGGGTTTCCCATTAGAATTCATAGCCATATAAATAGAGAGTCATGAACTCTCCAAAACTGGCCGGCCCTCAAGTGGCAAGTGCAACGCCCCGGGGAGCAGGACCCAATCCGAATCCCATACCCTAAAAGGACCCAGCAGAAAGTGAGGAACCCCCACAGCAGTCAAAAAATACGGGGTCAACATACTGACCCTAGAAAAAAGAAGAACAAAAAACGGAAAACGAACGGAATCCCTGACATGGTGCCTGTTTGTTTGGTTCCCTTAAGCAGGGTCCGAATCGCATTTTGAGAAAACCCCAAAACGATCAGATTTGCTATTGGGCGGTCCTTTTTTAGTGGGGCGTCCTTTCTTCCAGCACCCCCAACCCCCACCCCCCCACCTCCCTCATGGGTCTGAATTTCAATTGACCCCGGATCGGTCAACCTGTTAAACTGTCGGAAGGGTCGTCTTTTTCTCATAACTTGCATGTCGTGGCCCGAATGTGGGTGTCGATTTTTGGGGAAACCTCCTTTTGGCTGGCTAAGGGAAGCCAACAGCCAAAGGGAAACAAGCCATTTTGGATCCCGCATTTTGAAATCCCTCGATTCGCGTGCTAATTCTACCCATTGCGTATCCGCAGTAATCACCTACTCCATCTTCATTCTCCACCTCAAAAAAAAAAGGCGCCACCCATCTTTGGGCTGGGGCCAAATGAGTGGTCCAAATTTCCACCCCATGTTCAGCCTCCGTCTCAATTCCTCTCCCCCCCCCTCAGCCACCGCCCAATCTGCCCACGCGTGCCTCGGGCACGGAGTGGGGGTTCTCCTCCGCCGCGGCGGTGAGGCGCTGCACCCCGAAGGCCTCTGCCAGGACCTTCTCCGGGTCCACGCCGGGGGGCCACTTCCCCGTCTTCACGAACCTCGGGGAGAGGGGGGAGTCGAGGGCGAAAAAAAGGAAACGAACAGCCCGTGGAACCTGAGGATGGGCACAAGGAGGGGGGGAAGATAGGGGAGATGGGGAGATGGGGGAGATTGGGGAAATGGGGGGGGTAAACAGGAGGCAATGAGGACCAGAAACAACAACCCTTGAGGACCAGGTGCTCCAAAAGGGTCAGGCTGGATCAAGCTGGATGCCATGTACGTGATCACAAAAAATAAGAAGCTTGGCAAAGTCAGCAAACGCCTGGCTTTTCAAACCCTGCCAAAAGAGACTGGGGGGGGGGGGCAAAAGAAAAAGAACGCGGACCTGGAGAATGATCGGCTTTTTGGGCTTGCATGATCTCAAGATTCATCGCCTTTGATGTCAGGAGCAAAAAGTGGGCCAACCTCCGCAAAATGGCCCCGACAACGACAAACTGACACCGCAGGCGTCCCAAAAAGGTCCTTTGAGAGGGGCCAAGAGAACAAACCTGGCAAGAAGTCAGGTGGGGAAGGCTGAAAAAGAAGAAATATCTGCGGCACAAAGCTCCAAAATCCAAAAGCTGCCAAAAAAGACATGTTGAGTTAAACAAACAAATAAGTAAACAAACAAACAAACAAACAAACCGTAACGATCCAGCGAGCGAGCAAACAGACAGACAAACGGACAGACAGACCGACAGACAGACAGACAGACAGACAAACAGGCAGACTGAGAGACAAACAGACCAACAAGCGAGCGAGCGAGTGAGCAAGCCACCAAGCAATCCACCAACCAACCAACCAAACAAACAAACAAACAAACAAACAAGCCAAACCAATGAAACAAGCAAGCAAGAAAACAAACAAACAAAAACAAGCACAACTGCAAAAACAGACAAAAGGTGAAACAGGTGGATACTTCCAAAATGAAGCCGGGGAACTCCTCGTAGCCCGGGATCTTGCTGGAGATCTGATTCTTGGTGTAGCTGGTGAGGGCCAAAGACGAGGCGATGTTGGTGGCGATGTAGATACCCATGGCCTTTGGCGCTTCGGGTTGGGGCCAGCCACCCCTTGAAAAAACTTGCGGTCAAGGTGTGCGGCGAAGGGAAGTCTTTTCACCTGGTTTGAAGGGAAGCCAAAAAGAAACAACTTGGTAGGTGGATGTTTTTTGGAGTTGGCACCCTTTGACACATGTCTACGTCCTATCCACCAAACTGTAGAAACAACCTTCGTTGGCTGCTTCCCTTCAAAAGGAAACCCTGAGGCGTTGCGACTTCCCCCTCGAAAGCAGCCCAAACCCAGGAAACTGTGCAAACAAGGAAGCTCCTGCTGGTGTTTCTTGAAAGGAACCCTTAAACCACGAGTTTTTGGTTTCCCTTTTCAATGATGACCGTGGACATACAAAGGGGGGGGGGGGTTGCCCAAAATCTTTGGATCTTCTGAAATGGGAGACCCCGAACAAGATCCACGGGCTGATGAATCCTTGCAACCCCCGGTATTTTGCCAATGCATGTATTATTGGGCGCGGATTTATTTTTGGTTGTTTTTTTCCACGTCCGACCAACATCCCTAGCATCACCAACAAATCGTGGGTAACAAAATCAAAAAAGTAGCTGGCGGGTTGACGGGGTCAAAAAATGATGATTCAAATAGGAGGGCATTTCAATCCCTGTAAAAAATATATAAAAAGGGGGCGCAGCCCCCCCATGATGCTCGCAGAAGTGAGGATTCGAATAGGGGTGCAAAAGTCTAAAAACTAGCGGGGGGGTTCGGGGGGGGGGGGGGGTGGTTGGGAAGATTGCACCAAATGTGAAGCGCGCGTGCGTGGCGTGTAAGAAACGAGATCTCTTTAAATGAAAGAGATCAATTTAGTGAATGAAGCACAAACGCATCCTCTGTTTTGTTTCGATGCAAGAAGTGTACATCTCCATGTTTTCTTTTTTCCGTTGCTTATGATAGTTAACGTTTCCTAATTTACGAGATACATCACTGGCGTTGCATCACGCTTTGTAACAAAATCAATCTAGTAGAAAAGAATAACCGACATGGAATGGAGCGAAATGAAAAGGAAACAGTCACGAAATAGAAACGTCATGGAACAAACAATATTTGGAACACATGAAAGCTAATGGAAGCACAATTGCAAATGTAATAACAAGAAAAAGCAATGGAAACAAGGCATGACAAGGAATTGGAAAGAAATGGAAAGGACGTGAAAAAGAAAGGAGTGGACATTGCGAAACGAGCACTTTCTCGGCCCGGCCTGGCCAAGCTAGGAATGGAAAGCAATGGAAAGCAATGGAAAGGAAGGGATGGACAGGAATGGACAGGAATGGACAAGACAGGGAGAGAAAGTCACAGAAATGGACAGGAGAGGAAATAGGAAGGAAATATGGGCAAAGGAATAGAGTATAAATTTAATCAAAACAAATATGGAAAGGAAGCAAACAAATATGGAACGGAAAGGAAATTGACACCTGCTGCCTCACCATTATTGACATTGACAATTGCGAAACGGGCACTTTTTCGGCCCGGCTGGCCCTGGGCGCTTCTTCTAGCTAAGAATGAAGGGGAATGGAAAGGAGTGGAAAGGAGTGGCAGGGAATAGAAATAAAGGGAAAGAGAAGCAAAGAAATGGAAAGAAATAGCAAGAAAGTGCAAAGAACATGGAAACACAAAGGAATGGAACCGATCATGTTTTCCCCTTTTTTTTAAATACATAAATAAACGGGAATGGAAAGGAAAGAGAAGGGGGGAAAGTCGTTGAAAAGGAAATGGAAAGAAATAGAGAAATGGAATAGACAAGAAACGGAGATGGAAAAGTGCCCAAGGCCAGCCCGGGCCAAATGGCATGAAAGGTAAGGTCTAGCCCATGTCCCAATATTGTCCTATCCTAACTCATTCCTATCTCACCGCCGTGATTACTAAAGGAAAGAGGGGTTGCAAGGAAAGGAGGTGTCCCTTCGTTCATATGATTAATGTTATCTTGCTTTTGTTTAGCTGCAACAGTTATGACTCTGGAATTTCCAAGAAGCATACCAGTAAAAGGACAGGAAAGAGACAGAGAATGAACGCTTTTGGATGCATCTCCCATCTTTGAAGCGCTTACAGTCCTAGCACTAAGATCTTAAGGAATAGAGTTCCTATAAACAAGACACAGCGATGAAACAAGTAAATAATAAATAGGTGATATTCATGGCGAGACAAAATACAGCTAGTAAATCAAATAGATAATATTTATAGATGTAAACCAATGTGTCTGATATTCTGGCAGATGCCCCCCACACAGCGGCTTAAGACCGGGATCTACAGCATATTAAATCTACTTTTGGATATCTTCGTTCGCATTTATTATAAGGCTTGTACAGAGGATCTCCTAGTCACCTATCTGTCCTTCCTTCTCCAAATCTTAATTCTTTTTGTTGGCATGAGAAGGATTATGAGAAGGACAAATATACATACATAATATTTATACATTAGGATTTACTTCTTCCTCAGTCGTAAGGTTGTGGTAGCTAGCAAAGCGATGGATAGCTTGTTTTAATATCAGCTCTTGGGATCTCTTACCTATATCCTCGGTAAAAGCGGAGGAAGAAAGGAACTGCTCATTTTGCAATTTCTTTCAAAAGGGTTCTGAAGAGGCGAGTTTCCTTTCCCTCCCTGTCATTCCTTTCCATTTCCATTCCATGTCAATTCCAGTTTAACTTCATTTCTTTCCTTTCTATTCGTAGCTAGAAGTGCCGAAGGCTAGCCCGGGCCAAACACGCGCTCGTTTAATTCCATTTCCTTCCTTTCCATTCCTAGCTAGAAGTGCCGAAGGCCAGCCCGGGCCAAACACGTGCTCGTTTCGCAATTTCCCGTGCCAAGAATTTGGACAGGGCGAGTTTCATGTCCATTTCCTCAAAAATATACCTATATCTTTCCGTCCCTTTCCATGTTCCTTTCACTCCTTTGCATGTGTGTTCCATGTCCATTCCATTTCAAATCCATTTATTTCTTTCTATTTCGTGTATTTCTGTCTAGTTCTTTTCCTATCCATTTCCTTTCCAATTTTGTTTCCACTTCTTTCCATTGTATTTCCTTTTTTGTGTTTCCATTTCTTTCCATTCCTTTTCGCTCCTCTCTAATAAAGTGATCAAGGCCAACCAAGGCGGAAAAGTTGCTTTTTGTTTGTGTAAATCTCCCCGAACAGAGGTTGAAGGGGTGAGTTTGTTTTCCCTACTTTTCAGTCCTTTCCATGTCCATTCCATTTTAATTCTACTTTCAGTTCATTTAATTCCTTTCTTGTCCGATCCGTTTCTTTCCGTTTCTTTGCCATTCCTTCCATGTCCTTTTTATGTCCTTTCTATTCCTAACCTGGTTGATCCTGCCAGTAGCCGTATACTGATCTCACAATTAATCAGCATACCAGATAGAAACAATAGCTGGACAATCTGTAATTTTCCAATTCATGAGAAAACTGGTTGACACTTGGATACAATAGCTAAAAAAACCCATCATGCTTTTCTATGTTCATCATGGGACGCTGGCGATGAATCAACAACAAGAAAAACAATAAACAACAAACAAAAAATCATCAAATAACAAAAACAATCAACAACTCACAACAACAATCAACAACTAACAAAAGCAATCAACAACACAAAAACAATCAACAACTAGCAAGACATGGACAGGAAAGGGAACGTTTGTGCTTGGCAAGTCGGGGCTCACTGCCGATACAGTTTTGTATAGAATCCATTAACGAGCCTGCCTCGGCTGGATTCCAGGCACGTTGAAGCCCAAATGAAAAGGAAAAGGAAAGGAACTGGAAAGGAAATAGAAAAGGAAAACAAATGGAAAGGAAATGGAAAGGACATTAAAGGGACATTGCACGGAAATGGAGGAAATAGAAAGGAAATTGGAACAGAAAGGAATGAAAAGGAGATGGACTGACAATGGAAAGGACATGGGCACGTTTGTGCTTGGCGGTTCTAGGCTCACTGCTGATAAAGTTTGTATGAAACCAATTACGGAGCCTGCCCCTTTCCATTTCCTTCCCATTCCTTTCTATGTCCAATCCATGTCCATTTCCTTTCCATTTCCTTTCCATTTCCTTTCGATTCCCCTTCCATTTCGCTCCCGTTTCCTTTCCATTTCCTTCCGATTCCTTTCATTTCTTTTCCATTTCCTCTAGATGTCCTTTCCACGTCCTTTCCTTTTTCTTTCCATTTCCTTTCGTTTTATATTTCCTTTCTGTTTCCTTTCCATATTTCCTTTGCAGTTCCTTATCATGTGCGCTTCAAAGTGTCCGTGTCCAAGCGGAATTTAAAAATAGCAGGAATATCAATCATGTTTTTCTAATTCTTATATTTTGTTCAATGAATGAGAAAAATGGCTGGCAAATCAGTCATTTTATTCCATTTTTTAAAATAGCGGGAACACCAGTCATGTTTTTGCTTTTGTTTTATTTTTCTAATTAATGAGACAAATTGGCTGGAAAATCAGTCATGTTATTTTTTGCCTAATTATTTGGAGGAGGCTAGGTTTCCGGAATGTTGGGCCCTATTTTCCTAATTTGTCTCATCTTCTTAATGTTTCTATTATTTCTATTGAATTGGAAAAATAGCTGTAAAATCAGTCATTTTTTAAACTTTAGAGCCTCCGGCTCAGTCCGCCGACATTGTCCTCTCCCTTTTCTCCTTCTTACTCTCTCCCTTGTCTCCCTCGCGCGTTCTGTCGTCCTCTCTCCCTCCCTCTGCTGTCTTTCTGTGTCTCTCTTTCTCAGTCTCTGTCTTTCTCTCTCTCGCTGTCGCTCTCTCTGTCTGTCTCTGGCTCTGTCTCTGTCTCTCTCTCTCTCTCTCTCTATCTTTCTCACTCTCTGTGTCTCGCTCTCTCTCTCTCTCTCCCCCTGTCTCTCTCCCGCTCTCTCCCTGTCTCTCTCTCTCTCTCTGCATTGCAGCGTCACGTCCCCCCCGAGTTCCGGGCACTGCCCCTGCATGACCCGGAACTGTCATCTCACTAATGGCTTTCCCCTGATTTCCCCTTCATGTCATTTTCACGTTTCCCATGATGTCCTGGTCCTGTCCCTTCCATGCCGTTCAACCCCCCCTTCATGTCCCTGACATTTTCTCGGTATGTCCGCTTCATTTTCCATGTATGTTCCGTTCTTTCGTCGCGAGTCATTTCCCTACATCTCCCATCGTGCCGATTGGTTTCCTTGTGCGTTGTTTCCCTTTCCTTCCCCCTACACTCCCCTGTTTTCATTTCTGTCCCTTGCATGTCCCTTTCAGTTCCCCTTTGTTTCCCCGCCGCTTTCCTGTCATGTCGACTTCCTATTTCCTCCCCTCATTTCCCTGCACTTCCTTGCATTTCCCCTTTGCTCCCCAATATTTCCCTCAAAAAAACACGGTTTTCCAGCGTTTTCGAAAGTAGGGCGTCCAGATTTTCGGCAAAAAGAGGCAGGAACCCCAACGCAGCAAAGAGCCGGCAGGGGGAATCGAGCCTGGAACCCCTGTTCGAAGACTACGTTTAGTGGAACGTCATCAAATTGCCGCGCGGTCCTTGGGGGGGGTGGGGGGTCTGCCAGGTACATTCTACGGGAAACCTCCGGCTCAGAAACGCTAGATGTATGGCTCAGTTATTAGAAGAATTAGCTGAAAAATCAGTCGATAAAAATGATGATGAACGTGATGGTGAAAAGAATATGATGATGACAATGATGATAAACATGATGATGAAAATAACATTATGATGACAGTGGTGATAAACATAATAACTAAAATTCGGATTAAATGATGATGAACATGATGAATGATGCTTTTAACAAAAATGATGTTGCTGATGAAAATGATGATGAACATGATGATGACAATGATGATTAAACGTATGATTAAAATGGTGATGAACATGACGAACATGATGAGGAACAAACGATAAACGAGAATGATACAAATGTTGACGACAATGATAACGAACATGATGATGAAAATGATGATAAACATAATGATGCACATGATAACAAAAATGACGATGGACATGATGATGATCAACATGATTGTACAAATGATGAATCGTGATAAAAATGATGATACACATGATGATGCACATGATGATGAAGAGGATGATGAAAATGATGATGAAATTGATGATGAAAATGATGACGAACATGATGATGAAACTGCTGCTAGCAAAAACAAAAAATGCTGATGTACATGATGATGAACATGATGATGAACATGATGATAAAAATGATGAATGATGATACACATGATGTTAAACACGATGAACGATGATGGAAATGATAGTGACAATGATGATAAGCATGATGATGACCATGATGATAAAAATGATTAATGATGATGAACATGATGACGAACACGATGATGAAAACGATAATGGCCATGATGATGAAAATGATGATAATAAGCATGATGAATGATGATGACAATGATGATGAATGATGATGAACATTATGAGAAGATGATGATGAAACATATGATGAATATGATGATGAAAAAGATGATGACGATGATGATGAACATATTTTTTGCAATTAATTAGACCAATTAGCTGAACAATCATTCATTTGTTCATTTTTTCTAATTGTTCTAATTAACTAGAAACATTAGCTGAACTATCAGTCAATGTTTTCTATTTTCGCTATTTTTTCTAATTGTCCCCCGGTCTCCGGAATGTTGGAACCTATTTTTTCTATTGTTTCTATTTTTTCTATCAAAAAATAACTGAAAAATCCGTTGTTTTTTTCTATTTTTTCTATTTTTTCTAATTAATTAGAAAATTGGAAAAATTAGAAAAAATTGACTGATTTTTCAGCTATTTTTTCTAATTAGAAAAAAAATAGATCCCAACATCCCGGAGACCGGGGGACAAGAAGACAAATTAGAAAAATTAGCAAAAATTGACTGTTTGTTCAGCTAAAATTAGAAAAATTACAAAAATTAGAAAAAATGTGTGATTTTTCAGCTAATGTTTCTAATTAATTAGAAAAATTGGGAAAATTAGAAAACATTGACTGATTTTTCAGCTAATTTTTCTAACTAATTAGAAAAATTAGAAAAATTAGAAAACAATGATTGATTTTTCAGCTATTTTTTTTTATTAATTAGAAAGATTAGAAAAATTAGGAAAAAAATGACAGATTGTTCAGATAATTGTTCTAATTAATTAGAAAAATTAGAAAAATTAGAAAAACAATGACTGATTCTTCAGCTAATTTGTCGATTTAATTAGAAAAATAGAAAATTAGGAAAATTAGAAAAAACATAGGTCCCAACATCCCGGAGACCGGGGGACAAGAAGACAAATTAGCCACCAAAAGCCGCATAAACCAGCAAAAAGCCGAAAAGCCCAGAAGCCGAGAAGCCAAAAAGCCAAGAAGCCAAGAAGCCGAAAAGCCAAGAAGCCAAGAAGCCAAAAAGCCAAGAAGCCTCGAAGCCAAGAAGCCAAGAAGCCAAGAAGTCAAAAGCGGAAGAAAAAAGAAAAGAAGAAGAACAAAAACTGAAATACATACCCCGCCTTCATTATTTTCTGACATTGGACCTTGTTTTCGGAGGGCCACAGGCCTTTTGGACACTGAAAGGCATGGCCGACCCAAAAAGGCAAGAAAATTACCTTTTGTAAAGGGATACCCTTGTCGGGTTTGTTTTGAATGGGGTGCCAAAGGGGATCCGCTGATTTTCGGCCTCCCTCTCTCTCTCTCTCTATCTCTCGCTCTATGCCGTTGCATCCAGAGAGTCTTGACAAAGGAACATGTGGTTGCCAAGTGGGTGTGAATTTTACCTGACTCCAAAGGGTGGGCATCAATCTTTCATGTGCACCAACCACTTGGGAGAGCATTCCCTGTTTAGCTTGTGTCAAAATGTGAAAACCCCTAAAAACGAGCGGGCTTCCTTTTGGCTTCCCTTCAACCAGGAGCTCCCCAACAAAAAACAAGAAACAAGTGGAACCCCCCATGTTTCGCGAAGCAAGAAGGTCAGGTCAGCGCCTGTGGCAGCTCAATGGTGAGGAAGCTCAGCAGAAATGGGGTGAACTGCAGGAGCTTCGGCGCATTCTCGTCCTCAAGCGCGTCTTTCAGCACGTAGCCTGGCTGGGGGACTGGAACCCAGTCGCAGTGAGTTGGGTCCTTTTGGTTTCCAGAAGGGCCTTGATGCCTGTTCTTTTTTTCTTCGGGGGGGTCCGGAAAAGGTATTAGAATGATCCATTCCCTCTTGGCTTTCTTGTGATATCGAAGGAAATATCGGGCTCTTCAGACCCAGCAGCGGTAGGAGAAGAAGATGGACAGGGGCAGGACGGAATACAAGGCGAAATCCGTCCAGCCGATCTTGGGGTGAAGCTCAATCAAAGGGCCCTGGCCCCAGGGTCGGTGGCAGAAACTGCTACATCCAAGCGCGGTTCGTCCCCTTGCTCATGGGAAGAAAAACGAGAAAACCCAAGTAGTTGAAACCATAGGTGCTTAGAACAACATGGTTTCACCATCCACGGAAAAAAGCCCGAAAAAAAACTCCTGCCTGCCAGTTCAGGATCCAGTCAAAACTGGGGTCGGGCTTGAAGTTGGGGCCGAAGAGCGAGGGGATCCATAGGAAGCCTTCCTTCAAATGCGGGTACTCCACGATGGCCAAGCGTCGGACACCTCGATACAGGCCCCAGAACACGGGCAGCTGGAGCAGCAGGGGCAGAACTGCTCCAAGGGGATCCACCTGCAAGTCCATGTACAGCAGCCCCACCTGTCAAAAGCAAAATCGATCCATTTCTTGAAATCGCACCGGGTTTCCTTCAGATTTCCCTTTGGAAACCAACAAAACGACTAAACCAACCCTAAACCCATTCTAAAACCCCCACCTCCGTCTGCAGCCTCTCCTCATCGTCCTTGTACTTCTCCCTCAGCTCGTTCACCCTCGGGGCCAGCACCTGGATCTTGGCCGTGGTCTCCAACTGGCCCTCGGGAGCGAGTCAGCATCGGCCATTTTATTTTGACCGTTTCTAGGGGTTATCAAAGTCAGAAAATGGAATCGGTTGTTTCCCCAGTCACCCATCACTTGGGGGGTGAGTTTGATCATGGTAAAATAATGAGGCCAGTTCAATTCAACCCAGTTTCGACCCATCGCTACCACTTGAACCATAGCTTTATAATTGAAATGATTGCTTAAGCCTTGAAACCCTTGGCATCAACCGGCACACTGCGATTGGTGGAGTCGAGGGATGTATTGGGACCTCCCTCCCACCAGTGCAAAGACGCCTTGCGTCTTCGAACCTTTCGGTCCGCAGACCGGACCCGACAAAAAAACCCACGCTGAAAACTCCACCGTGCCTTCACGAAGGGGTAGAGCATGGTGCGGATGAGCAGCGTGTAGGAGGCCACCGCGAAGCCGAAGGACTGCGGCACCCCGAGCCCCGCGATGGCCTGGTCCAGGCGCTTGATCAGCGTGGCCTGGAAGGCCACGAACTGCGTCCACAAGTTGTCGGGCAGCGGATTGCCCTGGGGGTCCAGCAGCACGTTCCCGTTCTCGTCCCACTGCAAACCTGCGTGGTTTGAAAAAGCAAGTTGAAGCTGTCAAATTAAGAGGCGGAAATAGCGAAGCTGCAGGAATTTCAGGTCCGACCCAAGAGCAGCCAAGGAACGAGGGTCGAAGAAAAAACCGGACACCGATTCCCAGAGCTTGTTGCCATCCTCTGCCGCATCCATGGCAGCAGCGGGCTGGGCAGGGCCCAGCAAGGCCGTCAACTGCGAGAAGGCCTCCGTGCAGAGCTGGTTGCAAAGTCTCTCTTTTGTTCAACCAACCCCTGGGAGACCAGCCGACTCAAAGGGAAACCCCTCTGGGAGGTTGTCAAACCACGGGTGTGTAAGCCACGATTCAAAGAAAGATTGGCACCCGCCTCCGTGGCAGTGTGAGAGGCGGCTTGCATGGCCGCCGTGGCGGTGTGCGGGTCGTCGACCACCATCTGGGCCATTGCGCCGATGTCACCCTGCTCCACGGCCCTCCTCGCAATGCGGCAGGGCCTCACCAGACTTTGCAACGCCTTGACGTTGCCAGGACCTCAGCGAGAGAAGCTGTGGCGAGCTACGCAGTCTTGCTATAGACCTTGGATGGCAGAACTGGCAAGGGTCCCGCACAACAAACGTTGAGCAATATTCTCAAAACTGCACTTGTGGGTGGCCCCCCTTCAAACCACCATGAATTGGGTATGGGTCAAAATCAAACAGGGTAGAGTCAATTTATGTTTATCTATCACAGCCAGGCCTTCTGGGGTTACCCTAGTTCTTCACAACCACGCCCACTTCATTTAGAAGACTTTTGAGAGGATGTCACTTCGCCCTCCGCTGGGCAAAGCGATTGCTCTCAGGCCCCAGCCACATGTCTTTGTGCGACGCCTGGCCACTGCTGCAGAGGTGGCTGCAACAGAGGCCGTCCCAAAAAGCCTCAGTCGGAGCGTGTGGGCCTTCGAGGAAAGGTCGTAAGTGCAAAAGGAAGGGAGCAAAAAGCTAAAGAGTTGGGCGCCCTTCTCGTCTGGTAGCTGCTTTTAAGACATCCAGAAACCAAACCACGGAGCAAAGGGCGTTTTCTGGAGGCCGGGGTAAAAATTCATAGCGACTAGAGCTGGAACCCAACCCGGGTTCAATACTTCCAAACTGAGGGTGCGACGTCCAAGCATGGGGCAATCCTTTCTGCTGGTTTGTTTCCTGTGTGGCTCCTGGCAGGACGGGGCCACACTGCACTGAACCTCCCCGATTAAGCTGCTGAAAGTATGACCTTTGGGTAAAATAGATGGCACAGATAAATGATTAGAACCAACCTGAGTGGCATCTATGTTCAATCAAACTGACCTCAAAAGGCCACCTATGCTGAAGCTTTTGCTCCAAATTTTGTCCTCGGAGTGATCGGGAAGAAGTCGGGCGTTCGGCAGCGGGAGTCGCGAGGAAGGCCTTCCAGCTGGAATTCAATCAAAACAGCTTGCAATTCCAGGGGTACCTTCCCCATTCTTTCCAGGCATCCTTCTTTCTAGAACACCTCCGGAAACCGAGAGGGAAAACGGCCGGGTTTTGGAAAGAACCATGGGTGAAAAGAATGGACAAGGAATCAACCTCTAGAGCAATCAGCTCCTGCAGTCTTCTCTTAGGCTGATGTTAAACAGATGCGTCGGCGCCTTTGGCGCAACCAGCTGCGACAGCGCCAGCGCTCCGGAGGCGAGGAGGAGCCCGTTTCGAGTGTCACGAGACACGGTTCCTCAGCCACAAGTCGAAGATGATTTCCAGCAGCACTCCGAGAACAGGGTGCCCTTAAATCATGATTCGTGGCTTGCCCGCAACAAAGTGGCTGGATCAAGCGTTCCATGGGCACCTGTTGGGCTGTACCACGAGCTAAAACGAAGTCTTGTGGTGCAGAAGAGCTGCAAACAGGTGGTAGGTGCACATTTACGGGGCCAGCCTTAAGGGAACGACTCTGGAACCCTTAACTGAACACACAAACCCAATCTGACCTGCAGCTATGCATCCAGACGCGTCGCTGCCAAAAGTGGAAGGCATCGGGAGTTGTCCTCAAGGCTCTTGTTTAAAAATAACGCTGCCAATGCCACGCGGCAATTTTCACGGCAGGCAATGAAACTCAAGATTGCCTTCCCTACCTTGAGCCAAAGCAGAGGCGGACTGATGCTGAACAAGCATAAGCTGGTGATTGTCACACGGCCGCTTTGGGTCGTTCAAAATGGAGGCTTGGCCTATCCCAACCCTCAACCGCTAACGAGACACCACATAGGGACCAAACCTCTTCGTATCCCAAAATCATCGCCATTGCCTTCTGAGCACCCCTGGCTCCTCAAACCCCATTTTAAGCCTCAAACCTAGCCCCAAAAACTCACCCAGCTGCTAGCTGCCGGCCCGCCCGGCCCCAGCTGCTAGCTGCCCGGCTGCACGCCTGTCTCATGATCCCCTCGTTTCAAGACCGCGGAGATGCCCTCCAGCGTCAGCGCGCGGACGTTCTCGTCGGGGTCCCCCACCCTGCGGTCGCGAGAGCCAGGCGCACAACGGGGGCGGCTCAACGGGGTTGCACGTTGGGTGCTCCTCCCAAAAATGGCGGGGAGGGGGCGGGCTAATTTTGGATGGGGCGCAAGTCCTAAGGAACTCTGCAGTACCCGTTCCCAGGTTTCAAGAGTCCCTCTGGAAGGATCCCATCATGACGGCTGATGCGTCCACAGGGTCACACGTAGGTTTGTCTGCAATACACCAGCCCCCAGAATTCGGTTGGTTTCCCTTTGCCCCTCCCACAAACCGCACCAAAGTCCAGTCCAGACTTCAACCGACCTAAACTTCCCCAAGCTGTCCAGATGAGTCAACCCCTTAGGCGAGGCCACCAAAGTCCAGCTCAAAACAGCCATCCGACTGGCCTCGCTGCAAGGTGTGGCGCCACCATGGCATAGCATGCTTTGACCTGGAAAGTCGTACAATCAAAGGCGCCCTCAAACCGCTGCAAGTTCTCTCGACAAAATCCACGCCAGGCACCAGTTGTGATAGATAACACTCTTGTGAATACTGAACTGCGCAGGCCGAAAAGAGGTGGAGAACCCACCATTCATACACCCTCGTGAATTTATAGGTGGGGCGTCCCATTAGCGGATCCTTCCCTTTCAGGGAAACATACCCTAATCACCCGGGGGCTGACATTCTAGAGCTTGAATGGATCTCAGGTGAAAAGCACGGGACACTACCACAAACCTACCAAGCTACAAAACGGAATCAAACATCCGTTGCTCAAGCGTCCTCAATCGTAGTGCGGAAACCCCCCCCCGCCCCCCCCCACCCCGAAAGCTTCCCTTCGTAGGGCTCTGATCGAAAACATCAAAACTTGTTGGAGGCGTCTCACCCGGTTTCAAAAACGGTTCTCCCATGGCCTTTGCCGCAATCCCGGGTCCCTCGTCGGCCTCCTTGGGGTCGTTCTGTGCGTAGATGAGCTGCGAGATGCGCACCAGCGCCTCCAGGCCGTCGCACCGGAGCTGGGGGTTGACATCGCGGATCAAAACCTCCAGGCCTCAGACGTCCAGCGCCTGCCTAGGTTATGCTGGGCTCGTGGGGTGACAGGGGCACCCACTTACTACCAACTTGGGTCATAAGCTGGGCTGGTGGGTAGGGCTTAGCTTGGTAGCAGAAGGTGGGGGTTGGCTTGCTGGGTTACAAGCTTGGCCACAAGTGAGTTGGGTAGATACTGGGCCAGCAGGGGAGAATCCATTTTGCATCCATGGTTGCAACCTTCTTACTGAAAAACGATGCCGACGATGCCAATGATTTGATAAACGGCCAAAAAAAATCAAGCTTTGTGACGTGCCCCGTCGCACATTCAGCCACGCCAAGGTGATCCAACCACGACCCACGGTCAAAAAGGACTTGCCACACGCCTGACCCAACCGAGGCCTGCACGCTCAAGAGCTGAAATGGCAGCGCCTGCTTGGGCGTCTTGCACCAAGGTCTCCCATGATGCGGTCATTGGCCATAAAGCCTTGTGAGATGCCGATGAGTTGTTTGTTTTGCTTTGAGTCACTTGTGCATCATGTAGCTTGCGGTGTGCCGGTGCCCTGTCAGGTGCGACATGTTGAGTTGCCACATCCAGGGGGAATCATCAAGGTACGCCCGAAATGGCTCAGAGCTGCAGCAGGTTCTTGGCAAATGTCACTCGCGATCCGGAAGCCTCAATCAGCCCAAAGCCAAGCAGAGTCGTCACCTGTTTTGCCCCGCCCAGGCGTGCTACCGCCACTCGGCAAGGTGCCGGACCCACTCAGTCAGGCCGCCGGCGCCCGGCTCCGGCCTGCACGCTGTTTCGCTAGCTTAGTGGAGCACTCAGCAGGCAGAATCAGCTTGACTGCATGTGAGCTGCAGGGGCTGTCCGCCATGCTTTGCTCAACGCAAGGCAATATCACCTTGCGATGCCATTATCGATTGCTTCTCCTGGAGGCAATCGACGAACTTCGTTCCAAGCAGCCAAGGCCAAGGCAAAAAACCCGGGAGGAACATGCTGGGATGCTCAAGCGCGCAAGCACTGAGATGAGGCTTAGCCTTGCGAGCTGTTTGCCTAGCAGGCTCCACAAAGTGGGACCTCACAAAGCTCTAGGCACAGCCGGGTTGGTTGGTGTCAACACCACCTGGCGATGGAAGACTCATTGCAAAGCCCGGACCTGGTTATTAAGCTTGCCAAAAGCGGACCAAACTGGACCGGTCAAACGGCTCCAACTGCTCCATGCTTTGCTGCTTGCTCAACTCCAGTCAACATCCTCCTCGTGATGGCATCTACTGCTACTCCTGGAAGCCAACACAGGCCTCGTTCCAAGCAGCCAACGTCCAGGAAAAAGCCCTGGAAAAACATTCTGGGACGCTCAAGCCCGCGAGGGCCGAGATGAGCTGCAGCCTTGAAAGCTGCTTAGCTGGCAGGCTCCCACAAAGCTTGGCTTCAATATCGCCCGGCCGCAGCTTCACGAAGCTCTCAGCCAAGTCGGTCTTCAACACCATATGGCAGAGTCATTGCAGAGCACTGCCATCCGAGCGCCTGCCCTGTCAGTCGAAGCCCGGCGTTCCAAATTGCGTTGCCCAACAGCGCAAGCTCTTGCAAGCTACCTTGGTGCGAGTCCGGAGTCCAGCCACCGAAGCAAATCCTAGCCCTTTAAAGCGTATGGGCTTGGAAGTGTGCTTTTCTGCAGACTCAAAAGGCACGAGCGCATGCGCAAGCAAGCAGTACTGCGGGCCGCAGCACTACGTCTGCCAACCACAGCAGCAGTCTCAAGATGCAAAAGGCTACCAAGTTCCGGGCTCACCCAAATGCTATTCTGCGGGAGCCAGAGACACAAGTTTAAGCCGCGACGGTTGCAAGGCGTGCCAGGGAGCTGTGGCAACACAGCCGAGCTGTGGCAATATAGGTATCAGTTTGTGCCTGAGACCTCGAGGTCAAGTCGCATTAAACCATGCACGGAGATGCACGTGCGGTCAACGATCACTACACGCGCGCGACCTTTTTTTCTGAGCAGCACGGAGATCCACGCGCTATGCCACATGTCCTTCCCTGTATGAAACGCACTTCCCGCGCACATCTCGGGGAACAGAGGGCGACATTCTGAGCGAGGGCCAAGGGCAAATCTCTTGCGAGTGGCTGGAGAGAGGATTTTCCAGCCTACTGAAAAGCATGGCCGGCAGGAGGGGCGGAGTAAGCCCCGATAACTTGAATGTCTTCTGGCGCGACATGGGGTCTGGTGTGAAGCGGCAGCCTTGTACAGAAACGAGACCTGAGAAAAGGCAAGCAAGCCCTCATGCTGTGCAACGCAACCATCTTCAAGCTAAAAAAAAACTGAGCGCACGCATAGGCCAGCAAACATGGCAGCGTTCAAAATTGGAGACATAGTAACATTTGTAGCCAGCTGCCAAAATCCAGAACCAAAGAGAACTCCCCTCAGCTAGTGGCTAAACATCTGGGCCGATTGGGCAAAGATGAGCCGTCGCTGGATTCAAGGAAAACCTGACACACGCGTGCCCCCCATGCGCACGCAAGCACGAAAGCAGCCGCACAATTGGCACAAGCACAGGCACGTGCAGAGGCACACGGACACGCACAAGCGCAACCAAGACAACCTGCAAACAGACACGCCACTTGTGCAAAGGCCACACCCACCCGCACCCGCACACCGACACCAGCCCCTGCACAGACAGACGCACGACCATGCACGCCGGCGCACGCCCACGCACACTCAAACGCACACGCAAACGCACACGCAAACGCACACCCAAACGCACACCCAAGCGCACACTACATGCACGCTCAAACGCACACCCACGCATTCGCGCCCACCCACCCGCTCGCAGCCAGACACAGACAGACACTGACACAGAAGACTGAGCAAAGATAGACTGACACAGACAGACAGACAGACACAGACACCGACACAGACACAGACAAACATGCAGACCCCCTAGGGCTGGTGTTGCTTGGGGCTGGTTGGTTTCTTGACTTGCTGGCATGGATTTTGTTGGTAGGTTGGTAGGTTGTAGTCAGGTTGTTTGTTGGTGGTTGGGTTGGTGGTTGGGATGGTTTGAAGCTGGTTAAGTTGCTTGGGCTGGCACGGGACATGGGGAAACATCGTCAGCACCATGTCGCCAGTTCAACGTTGTGGGCTGGCTTTGGGCCGCCTGAAGGCTTTATCTTGGGTGGGATCATTTTTGCAGGGCGCACGGTTAGTTTAAGGTTGGGCTAGTTCTCGGCTAGCAAGGTGACAGATCAGAAAGCAGGTTCAGGTGACGGGGATTGTTCCCTGGCATGTTCCAGAGGAACAAACACCGCGTCTGTCATTCACAACAGCTGATTGAAGCTGAGCCCAAAGTTCTGCACGCAGTCAAGCTGGCTGGGCCCAACGGCTTTGCACTTTTCTCAACGCGACATGGGGCCGCTCGTGATGTCAAGCATGCCTCCTGCCGCCGACACGCTATGTTGGTGCTCCTGCAAAGCTTACCACAAGCGCAACCTCTTGCAAGCTACCTTGATGCGCAGCCAGCCGCCGAAGCAAAGGCAAGACCAAGCCTGCAACAGAGAATTCACGCACAACAAGTGGCACGACTTGAAAGCGCATTGGCTGGAAGAATCCTCCGCTGGCAGTGCTGCAAGGC